CTGCTCATGTTCTGCCACGCCATCCATCTTAATGCTCCTTTTGCTGCTTCCCCCGTTCTGGTGCCTTGTCTCCCTCTGCCCCTGCAACCTCCTCCCTCCTGTCGTAACCGGGCCCCCTCTCTCTCCTCCTCTTAGTGTCTCACTTCTTTCACCACTGATTTCTCCATCCCCTTGTGAAGTCCTGCACCTACCTATTATTGAGCTATTAAAAAATGTGCAGTTTGCCTAAAACTACAGCAGGCAAAAAATCACTTCTGTAACTATTATTAATTCAGTGAAGTGTTTGGAGATGCATCTGTAGGAAGCATGAATCGCTAACCTCATAGTTAGGCATTGATGCTAATCTCGGATTTTCCAGGGTGTATATTATCACTTGCTGGGAAAAAAATCAGATCTGGTGAGTAGGTGTGAGAAGGTCTGAGCTGAATGTAGGACTTAGTTTCATGTTCACGAGATGCGTTGGTGGGCTTAATGGGCTGATCCAACTCACATTTGGATAGGGTTATGGATTTGGTGGGGTTTACATTATCAACATTAAGTTATAAGCCCAAGTGGTGCCTTTTTGGTTTTTGGTCTCCATTGTGAAATGACTGCGTGGTTGACACCATTGGCAGGGTGTGGCAGAGTAGGATTGCGGTGCATCTACAGTGTTCACGTAGGGGCTGTACCTGGACTAGTAGAAGTTTTATAGGTCAAGATTGAGAAGCACTGAGGGAGAGGTGGGGCTGTCCGCTTATCCTGCACTGCACCTGTCCTCTTGTTGCCCATTTAACCAGTCACACTAACATGTGCATTTTAAAAAAGCAAAGTTTGGTTTTAGCTGCTGAGTCAATCAATTTCCTTTTTGTATTTTGTGAGACTTGCAACGTGAGTGGATGAATTTTGCTTGTCTTAGGGTATGTCTACACTACCCGCCGGATCGGCGGGCAGTGATTGATCCAGCGGGGATTGATTTATCGCGTCTAGTCTAGATGTGATAAATCGACCCCCGAGCACTCTCCCGTTGACTCCTGTACTCCAGCGCTGCGAGAGGCGCATACGGAGTCGACGGGGGAGTGGCAGCAGTCGACTCACTGCGGTGAAGACACCATGGTAAGTCGATCTAAGTACTGGAGCTGGGAAAAAGGAACTTGTTTGGGACATCTTAACTGGCACAGATAGAGAGAAGAGAGAAAAAAATACACAGGAGAAGATGAGCGAGGACAAAGGAGGAACAGAAAAGACTAAAAGGGAAATAATAAAAAATATCAGAAAAATACTTTCGAGAATAGGAGAGCCAGGGTCACGCACAGGCTCAGAATGAGTGGCTGAGATACAGCAGTGCGGTCGCTATGTTCCCAAATTGGCCATTAATATGTTCTAGTCTTTAGGCTCATTAATTGCAGGGTTCCGTCGCTGTTTTGCTCAGCCCGCTGCACACGTTGCTGCTGAGATTGGCATTACTAATTTGGCCCTTCAGCCCATGCTCCGTCGTGTTGTGAATCTCTCAGATGGCATAGGCTCCTTGGGTCATGTCACTATGGGGGTGGGAGACGAATCAGGCGTTGTAGGAAGTAGCTTGAACAGCTTTGTGGGTACACTTGTTGCGGAGTCTGTAGTGAGATAATGCCCCGGTGTGGTGCTAGGGGGCGCTGTGCTGTGGGATGTGCCATCTTCCAGATGCCATGTAAATGCTGGGCATTCCCCGCCCAGCCCAGTTGGAATTAAACTCCAGGGCACCTTCAACAGTGCTTGCTGGGCGCAGTGCGACATGATTAGCCCTCCTGGCCCTCCAGGTTGAGGGGCTGCACTGCTGTCCCTCCTTTGCACCCAGGCTGTTAGCATGCTTTTATCGCTTTGATCTGGAGCTTGGGGGGATGTGGGAAGAAGAAGGGGATCATCTTTGTTTTGGTGAGAACTTGTTTCTGGTTCCGTTAACCCTGGCGTTGGGAACAGCAGGTAGCAGGACAGCGCGGAGCGGTTAGTGGGATTTCCTCTCTGGCCTCGCGGGTGGACCTGCCTTCCATTTCTTGCTTTCAGAATGATGCTGTCATCTGGTAATATGAGACCAAGAAGCAGGGGGTGGCGGGCGGTCCCCTGGTTTGCTGGGGCTCTGCCCCGGAGAGTTGTTGCTGGTATGAAGTGTGTTGCATGCTGCATCTCAGCAGCTCCACTAGGGAGCATAACATTCAGAGTCCAGTTCAGAGGCACCTGCGGCGCTACTGCTATCTTCTTTTAGAACTGCGTAGTTCCTGCCAGGTCGCAGCACCCATTGAACCAGCCGGCCTGTGATGTTTTATTTCTCCATCAGTGGTGGGTCTCCTCTTATTGGGGGCGATTTCTGTGTTGGCTGGATTAAGTTGGGTGCGAGCCCTTGGCTGGGAGGGAAACTATGGACTGAACATTTAGATCCAGGATGTGGAAAATGAGGCGCACAGCAGTGAAATGGATTGGTGCAGGTCCCACGGGGGGTTTATGGTAGAGGCCGGGGTAGAACCCAGATCCCCAACTCTACCCTGTGCTTTGACCACAAGATGATCCTTACCAACCAGTCTCTCAGTGGAATTAACTCCTCACATAGGGAGTTGTTGCTGTCTGGAATAAATAACCCATGACCGTCATAAATACAATTCTAATTGCTAAGTTAATTTTAGAAAGGCACTGGTGTGAATAGGCTGGTCCCCCTTCTATTATCTACCAATGCAAAGACACATGTATTCTCAAATAGCAAATCCCTGAGGCTGGACTGTGCTTACAAACACAGGACAAGCCTGGGCTTCTTCCTGTGCTGTATTTTTAGGACTCCCCCCTCTATCACCTATTGCCTCTTAGGTGGACTCTGCTTTTTATGCTTCTCGGGGGAAATAGTGAGATGCGGCTGTTCTGCCTGCCATGGTGAGTCAGCAGAGTAACTCTGCATCCCCCGCACCCAGGGTCCTAAAGCTTGGCACACCTGGTCCTCATTATACTAATCTTTAGAAGTATATTCTGAAGAGTGAAGTCTAGATGATCAAGTTAGGACAGGCTTCAATGTGTGTCCAGGTGTATCACCATGCTGCTGAAACACTTCCTTAGAGCCATGGGCATCCATGTGCGGAATGTGAGGGGCATGTGACGGAAGCTTTTACTTCGCAGCGCCAAGAATGTGCCTGTGTCGGCAGGGCGTGGGGTACGGCAGCTGGGCTCTACAGCGGAGTCCGTGAGGAGATGTTTGGTCTCCAGCGGAGGTGGTAGATGGCAGAAGCAGCTGCCCATTTTCCTTCAGATTCCAGCTGCTGATCTTCAACAGGTGATTTGTGACTGCCACTCCTGGCTTAGGAAAACCTCTCCGTGAGAGACATTCGCATGGATTTCTGTGCGTGCGACCGCAGAGCTGTGTCAGAGTGGTGAGAGTGCTGCAGAGCTCAGTAATCATTTCTCTCTACGGGCTGGCACACCTGGCAGCATTCACTCCCCCTCGCTCAGTGGACAGTTCTCACCAATTAATACATTCGTTTGCGGGAGCTAGAACTGCCCTCATGCCCCAGCCCCGTCGGAATGCGATTGGAGAGCAGCTCTCTCTGCAAATCCTGCCAGAGACTCGGTTGTCTCACCTGTTCACAGCTGGAGGTGTTTTTTCACAACAGTGATCAGATAATGCTGTCCCTGGCTCCGTCTTCTTCCTGCGCTGATTCTTCCCATGCTTTCTGCTTTAGTTGATCAAAGGAAACCTCTTCACATCCAGTCTCCAGAGCCTGCTGGGGTTTTGTTGCCTGGTGGAATTCTCCTAACCTAAACAAGAGTATGTGGGGCTGAAGTGACGGCAGGCAGTGGATGCAAAATGAATTAACCCCTTCAGTACTGAGAGAGTGGATGTCACAGGGGACTAGTAAAGGAATAGGTGGCCTTTACCGCCTTGCCATTGTTCACATTCATCTTAGATAGCTAATGACTAAAAGTCATTGACATCGGATGGCTGTTTGATGGCCTGTGTGGAAATGCATTGGTTGGTTTCAGTGCAGTCCCTAGTGGACGGATGTTTCTGAGTCAAATTTTTCAAAGCATCTCAATCTGGTTTTCAGAAGTGATTTAGATGCTTAGGAGCCTAAAGCCAAGAATTACATAAATAACTAGTGATTTTGTTTGCCTCAGTTTTCATGTGTCCAAGTCGAGGCCCCCGGAAGGGGCCTGATTTTCAGAGGGTGGGTGTCCAGCGCTTTCTGAAAATCAGCGTGCTTGACAGTGTCTTGAGTTGGATGTCCAAAAACAGAGGCGTCCAAAATCAGTTGATTTTGAAAATGTCGGCCTGAGAAGTTTCCTTGAAAGTCAATGGGATTGTGGCTGCTTAGGGCCTGAATGAGCTTTGAATAGGGGAGTAAGGCTCTTGAGGTGACTTAAGGTGACATTTTCAAAAGCCCCCATCAGTCTGTATGGGCACTCTTCACCATGGGATCTGAGCACCTCACTGACACTGCGGAATGTATCCTCACAGCATCCTTGCAAAGTTAGGGCAGTTTTATCCCCATTTCACTGAGGCACGCAGAGATTTTCCAAGCCCTCCTTCACAGCAGGGAAATCATCAGCACAGTTTCATTAGTGGTCCCTCTTTGTGGCAGCCTTGCTCTGGAGGCTAAGATTTGAACGGGTTGTGGAATTGGAAGCAACCATCATGCTGAGAACCCCTGTTTGAAACTCGAAAGGGAAGTGGAGCCGATTCCTCCCCCACTGTCCTGCCAGCATGCCTCAGCTTTGATCTGGGGAGGGGGCCTACCTCTCAGAGTAAGGGGGGTGGGTGGGATTCAGCTCCATTCTAGCTCTCTTTGCTGAGAGGGCAAAGCTGCTGCCTCTGACATACTGTTGTAGGGATAAATAGGCAAATTCATATGCCAAGCCATAAAGAGAAACCTTCACACACACACACACAAAGGTTTTTGTGTATTTGTATTTTACAAGTAAATAAAAAGAAGTTCCTAGGGTTCCCCCCCTCCCAATTTAAAAACCTAATGTGCATGGTGTTTTTTTTTCTTCTCATCCTTCCCCAGATCTGAACCATGTCCCACCCATCATGGCTGCCGCCAAAGAACACCAACGAACCCGTCGGACACGTCACTGCGAGAATGGAGACCACGCACGCTTTTGGGACCCCCAGCATCTCTGTGTCCACGCAGCAGTCGCCAAAGAAATTTGCACCAGTTGTTGCTCCAAAGCCAAAGTACAATCCATACAAACAGCCGGGGAGTGATGGTAAGAAACCTGTGAAAAGGAGCTTGATGGCATGGGGAGTTCTCCATGCGATCTCTGCGAAATACAAGGGCGTTTCCCTGGTGAAACTGACCCCTGGGCTGTGGGCCAGCACGCCGTGTTTTCACCGCCAAGTCCTGCGCGTGTTGTGTGTGTGTCTGCCCAGGAGTGAATTTCACCCATTCTATAGATCTGATTTAGGGGAATTAACCCCCTTATGCTATATGCTCATGAGTTACTCTAGATTACCGATACCTTCTTTGAGGTTACCTGGTTACAGAGCAGTTCAAATGAAAATCTTGGGGTAGCTTTGGAGCGTGTGCCTTCCAGCTATCCTCACATTATTTAAAAAAAAAAAAATCATTTTGGGCCCCATCTTATTTTCTTAACAGTTGATGCCGACATTCACTTTCTAAGGCCATTCCTTTCAAGGTGTTCATGCATTTGGTGTGAACCACTTGGGCTGATCCAAAGGCGTCGTGCTCCAGAAGAAATTGCAGTGTCTGGGGGAGGGTTAGGGCTTGTGCGCTGGCTCAGTGGGAAGTACCAGGCAAAGTACTAAGTCTGGGGATGTGGCAGGATGATAGGGCAAGTTGTTGGCAGAACTGCTGTCCAACCAATTGGATGAATTCAGGATTACGGCTCCTCCAGTACCCCAAATTCTTAAGAATTAATATTTTAAATGAATAATTATTTATATGGATATTCATATGACCGTTGCAACAGCATCTGGACACGTTATAGAATCATAGAATCTCAGGGTTGGATGGGACCTCAGGAGGTCATCTAGTCTAACCCCCTGCTCAAAGCAGGAGCGATCCCCAGACAGATTTTTGCCCCAGATCCCTAAATGGCCCCCTCAAGGATTGAACTCACAACCCTGGGTTTAGCAGGCCAATGCTCAAACCACTGAGCTATCCCTCCCTTAATTATATAATTAAAACAAAACCTGAACTCACATGGCCTAACAGGACATGACATAACAACCAAGATACTTTGGCACTCCTCCATCTACCACTTTATAAACACCCTACGTTTAACACACTCTTGGCCCACATGCTGAATCATGATGCTGTGAAGCTTGGTGTCTTGTAGACCCAACCAGCAGAACGCGGAAGTTCCAAAGTGAGGGACACTCAACTGAGAGATCCTCCGGGGCTCAGCCCCTGTCACTTGTCAGGAGAAGCTCCTCCAAAGTTCTGAATTGGTCAAGAAGGGTCAATGGCAAGACTTCCATTGATCGTAATACAGAGACAAGGTGGGGGAGGTGATATCTTTTATTGGACCAACTTCTGTTGCTGAAAGAGTCAGGCTTCTGAGATGCACAGAGCTCTTCTTCAGGTCGTCTTGGTTGTAATTTGTGAGAGATGGGACTCCTGACTTTCATAGATTCATAGATTCTAGGACTGGAAGGGACCTCGAGAGGTCCCTTGTTGGCATATGATGGGAGTTCTGTTTGCACAAGAATAGCCATAATAGATTATGATTACAGCGGGTTGAAAAATGCGAGGGGTTTTTCCTGTGAATTTTTTCAATTCTATGTGGGAAAACCACAAAATAAAACAAAAATTTCATTTTGATTTGGTTTTTGAAAACTGGAAAAATTCAGTTTTTAATTTCCGGGTTTTGCATTTTCTGGATCCCCTTTCCTTTCTGTCTTCCTCAGAGTGCAATCAAATGAATCATGTCTTGGAGGGAAAGGGGGATGGTTCATGAGTCAGTTTTTCCCTTCCCCCTTCCGCCCCGTCCTGTAAATTTTCAAAATTTCTCCAGTTTTGGAAAAGTTATGGAGCAGCTAAAGAAAAACAAAAAACCCAAACAAACAAATAAAAAATGAAGCTCGGAAGCTCTGCCGCTCTGGGACTTTTCAAAAACATCCCTAACTTTTGAAAAGTTGGAACAGCAGAGTTTTGACACTCTAGCTTTTCAAAAGTTGGAGAAGTTTTTAAAAGTTGCAAAGTAGAAAAGGAAGACTAAAAAAGAGAGTGTAAAAAGTGAAAAAGGATCCCTCAAACGGTAGACTTCACTCATTCTGTTGCATTCATTGACAAGACATGGGTGAGAGAGAGAGGGAAAAACATCAAGTGAGAAGAAGTTTTCCACTGGAGTTGCTGGGGAGGTGGGTGGATTGGATGGGAGAGAGATATTATCTTCTTCTCTTGTGTCTTTTGTACCATGCGGCTCTTGGGTTTTGGGGAGGGAGGAACTGATAAGAATCGAAAAGCACAGGGGAGGGAAGCTTCCTGTGATTAACGCTCAGATCTGAGACATGTGGCATGACTCTTTCCCTGTGGAATACCACTTCTCATTGGACCCGGTCCTGCCCAGGGTGAAACTCGCAAGGCAGTCCCATTGAAGCCTCTGAGATGAGTGTACACAGCACCTTGTAGGAGACACTCGGCATTTCTCAGCATCGGGACCACGTCTTGTCTTGGAGATCACATGGTCATTCGAGGAGCCTGGAAGGCTGATGGTGCTGAGGAAGAGCTAGTCAGGGATGTGGTGTGATACACAGCTTGCTGAAGTCCTGCCAACAGCCAGCCCGTCCAAACCCATTAGCTCGACTGTATATGAATTTAAGAATACTAGACTTCTGGGATCCAGGAGAGAAGGCGGGGCCATTACAGAATATTTAGCCCATAATGCTTCATTCCCTTTTTATTGCTCCATTGTCTCAGCTCCCTAACTGTTTCCTCAATGACCTTGATTTGTTTTTGTTTCAACAATCTGGCCTGGGAGGCACTGGGGACGGCTGATGGCTGCCTGTGCAAAGAAGCCCGCCCGGTTATCTTGTCTGAATTTGTTCTTCCATTCTCATCTACGCCTCTTTCTACTTAGCTGTGAAACTGGAAACTCGAGAGCTGCAGTTCCCGTTTGGACTCTGGTATATTAAGTCTCTCACTGCCTGCCCCCAAATAACTTCACAGGGGTGTTTAATTTTCTTCAGGCTTGAGAAGAGGTGCAGTTTACAAAGTCAGTCTGCTAAAGGTGACTGGAAGCAAAGGGATATAGCGCAAGTGGAAGATTGCAAAACAGTGTCCTAAGGCTGTAGTGGTACAGATGTAGCTGCACAAATCATGCCTTGGCACAGCAGCTGCTGCCAGATCAGTATCATTAAAATCAATTGCCCATTTAAAAGCGGCTGCAGGGGCATTATCAGCACATGCTCTTCACTAGTTTCTCCAGATTGTCGCTGGTAGCACTGGGGAAGCCACGTCCTCGGGGCTAACATCTCTTTTAAGATGTGTCACTTGTACAGCCTGTACCTTTTTCCGCTGATCGGCCTGTGTTTTTCTTGAGTGAATTGAACGGGCTGATGAAAGTTGCCGGAGTAAAGCCCTGGGGCCCAAAGGCCTCTCTGCATGACATGGAAAGTGGCCGTGACATGACACCATGTTGCCTTCCAATCAAACCTTTGGCCCCTCCACTGGCACTGGGATACTTTTTGTTGACATTTAGTGTTCTATCCTCTTTCGATTACACTGTGCTTCCCGACCTGAGCTCTGCCTTTCCCTCACACCCAACTCTCCTGCCCCCAGTTACAAAAAGTGGGGGTGTCAGGGGAAGCTATTCAAATATATTAGGCAGAAATATATAGAATTTTAAAATTATCTATAAAAAATGATTAAAAAGGGAAACAAAAGCTAAACAAAAAAAGTAGAATGAGCCTGTTTTAAAAATACCATTGTGATGTTTTAGACTATGTAAGGGGGTCGCTGTAACACTCTGCCTTCCCTGGGGCAGGTTATGATACTGCCTCGTTGTGTCTTGTTTTAAGCTAGATTTGTTAGCTCATTGGGACAGAGACGGGGGGGGGGCACTGACCCTACCTGGTGCCTCTGGGTACCATTAGAAACAGAAGAATAGACAAGAGCACAGTTCTGATTCCTGGGCTTGTTCCGTTTCTGCTGCGTAGCAGAGGCCGCGTGCTGTTGTGTTTCTATAGGGCCTACAAACACCGGGCCAGATTTTCAAGTACTGAACCGCCACAATATGGGCCAGATTTTCAAAGGTGTCCAGCTCCAGCTTTTCCCATTGTGACGCTTACGGCCTGATTTCCCAAAGGGGCCAACAGCCGAAGTACTGAGCGCTTTTGTTTTGCTGCCTAACTGGGAGCGGCGTTCTTTGGAAAACCTGGCCCTCAGTAGCTATTGGGTATTTGTTCTGTTGGGTTTAGTTCCTCAGAGGAGGAGTGGCCGCTGTTATAGATGTAGGTCAGGACTTTTCTTGTTCGATGTGACCTATTCTAAGGGTATGTCTACACTACGGGATTAATCCGAATTTAGATAATTCGAATTTGGGAAACAGGTTGTATAAATTCGATTGTGCGCGGCCACACTAAGCACCTTAATTCGGTTTTTAACCACATTAATTCGGTGGTGTGCGGCCACACTACCCCATTAATTTAAACACAGTAATTCGGTGGTGTGCGGCCACACTAACCCTAATTCGAATTAACAAAATCGATTTAGGCGCTACTCCGCTCGTCGAGGTGGAGTACAGAAATCGATTTTAAGTGCCCTTTAATTCGAATTAACTGGCTCTGTAGTGTGGACGGGTGAAGGGTTAATTCGGATTAACGCAGCTAAATCCGAATTAAAGTCGTAGTGTAGACCAGGCCTTAGGTCTGGAAAACATGAGCAGAAGTCACCGCATCACGGCATGTTCTATTTGGTACTGCTTCCCCCATGCACTAGTGTCTCCAACTGGCCTTTTTCTTTGTTCTGCTCGGCACATCCGTGCACTGTTCAAAGCAGGATCTTAGCAGAAAGGCTCAGTGATCGTCAGACTTTCGTTAATGGAACCGGCTTCTGATTGTTCCTTTTCCTTTCGCCACTTGAGCTTTTCTTCACCCTTGTTGCCCAGGTTAGACTGCAGATCCGACTAGCTGCCGTTGTTGTTGCTGTCTTGCTGCTGCTTTTATCCCTGTTTTTATGCTCTGGCGACGTGGCACTTAAGGAATCATCAAGAGGTTGCTGAGGTACAAGTCTGCACGCAAGGAC